TTGTATCGCCAAATTTATTATTACTTTGTATATATTCCGTACCTCGTGCTAATGTACCGCGAAAAATACCTCCTTTTAGTGTGTAACTCGAAATGTCATTTCTATGTTCCAAAAAATACCTCGAATTTGGAGGTACTAGGTGATACATGATTAAGAGTGTGGTTGCCTCAATCGAAAGATTGAGATTATTGTTGTCCCTTTAATGTGGTTTACAGAACAAATAATGTGATTAAGAGATCTATAAGAGATCTATATCTTGCACACGGTACAGCACTAAAGAATTCAGTTCCATTGCAGCAGTATTACCTGTACTATTGCTCATACTTGAAGAACAAAATAAAATGTGCATAAATGTGTGTTACAACTGTATGTTGCGATTCTTGTTATTGTGGATGTACGATTTTATTTTTAAGTAAATTACCATATAAGGCAATGCTGATGGAAGATCGGAATTACTGACATTACAGTTATATGAATAACTCCGAATTGATTGAACGGGATTGAAATATACATGAAATGTAGTGGTGAGGTAAAGAAATTTGTAGTAAAAACAAAAATAAATAAATAAATTTTTAATTTTTTTTTCGTTTTCACTACAAATTTCTACGTTCCACCACTACATTTTATATCTATTTCAATCCTGTGAAAGGATTTTCAATTACGTTTAGTCAGATTGGAGATATTCATACAATTGTAATGTCGATAATTCTGACCTTCCAGCATTGCCTTAGCTATAAAATATATTTCTTATGCTATAAAAAATATCTCTAATGTATATACAGGATGTCCCGAAATTTGCGAATCAAAATATTATAGCAAGAAAATCTTCGAAAAATTAAGTAAAAAAAGTTATTTGTAAATTTTTATTTTAAGCAGTAATTTTTTAGATATACATATAAGAGTTTAAACTTAGCCAATTATAGATTAGTACGCGCGTGAAATGCGTGACTATCGACACGCTCTCGGATATATTTCCGTTTAACTGTAATCTATAATTGGCTAAATTTAAATAAATAATCTTATATCTTAAAAATTACTGCTTAAAATAAAAAATTCCAAATAACTTTTTACTTAATTATTCGAAGACTTTCTTGCTATAATTATATATTTTGATTCGCGAATTTCGGGACACTCTGTATGTATTAATGTATATTTATTTATGTTAATAGGAAAAAGTCATTTATTTTGTGATATTTTCTTTTCGTTCCCTTTTTACTTTCTCTTTTTACATCAGTACTAGAAAGTTCTTTTACCACTAGTCACTTTAGCACCGAACAATCTTATAAGATATACGCCATTGTCTCAGAGAGCTCGCTGTTATAAAAATAAGTGACAAGAACACGGAAAAAATTGCTGTGGATGTTACAACAATATTCTCTATGTTTGGAAAAGAAATGCATGTGAATTTAAGTTATATTGATGTTACTTGGCATTCATCTGTTAAGGTATGCTCATCAGTACGGTCGTCACAACCGTAGTGCTTAGGATAAATAATATTCGGTTAGAGTATCTTCATATATGTGGTTGCCTCAACCGAAGCATTATTGTTATCTCTCTAGTATGGTCTGTACAACTAATAGTATGATTGAGAGATATATATGATATAGTTGCACGTTACAACATTGAGGCTGAGAGTTCAGTTAACTATATAAATCACTTCCAAAGTATTTTAGTTCCTATAACTCTTCTAAATTGATGGGCGAAAATTA